TTGTGCTTTCTGTGAGGTGTAAATCAATCTTACCCATTTAATAAAATTCTCTCCAAAGTTCATATCTTCCAGAACTTTAAATAAGAAAGCCCAGTTCAAATTGTCAAAGACCTACTCTGCATCTAAAAAAATCAGTGCAGCTTGTTTTTCATTATGTTGCTCCAGATATTCCAAAATGTCCAACACATTTCTAATATTATCCCTTGTCTTTTAGGTAAAAACCCACATTGATCTTCATGAATAAATTCTTGCAAAATTATTTTCAACCTTGCAATCAAAATAATTGTGAACAACTTATAATCATTATTCAATATTGAAACCAGTTTCTTCTTGAAGTCAAATCTTGGCCCTCTTTAGGTATTAATGCTATATTTGTCTCTTTCTAACTGTCCAGCATCTTTCTCCTCTGTAAAATAGAATTCATCGTATTTTGTAAAGGTGGTAAGAGTTCATCCTCAAAACATTTGTAATAAAAAGCCAGTAAGCTATCTGATCCATGCACCTTTCCTGTTTTAGTCTTTTTTATAACTTCACAAACTTCCCTTATTGTTATAGGTCCATTCATAATCTGTTTCTGTTTCTCTGACATTGGGTATTTACGCCCCAAATGAGGACAAAGTAAACATTTCATAAATGACTTATGGATAAACTAATGGACTTTTCCTGTGAAAATTGGTGCCTAATGGTGGATTGGAATGGAGTGGTTTCCCCACAAGAAGACAGAACTTCTAAGAAAAATATTAAAATTACATAAGGTAAATTGCCAAACGTTTTCTTTGATTTGATGGATAATTTAGGGCTTGTTGACTTAAGGAGACATACAAATGGCAATTCAAAAGAGTATAGTTATTTCTCTGAAAGACACAGATCTTTTTCAAGAATAGATATGATTTGGATTTCAAAAAATTTGGCTACTGATGTTCATAAAGTAGAGATACCCACAAAGACTTTTTCAAACCATAACCCAGTGAGTTTGGTTTTTAAAAAGGAAATCAGTTCTTTCAAATGGAGGCTAAATGAAATGCTATTACAAAAAGAAAAAATAGTACTCTAAAGAGAAATTAAAAGAACTTTTTGAAAATAAAAAAGGCACAGATGTAAGGATAGTTTGGGATGCAAGTAAAGCTTTCATGAGAGGATACAACATAACAGTGAACCTAAAAAGAAGAGGCAGGAGAAAATACAAGCTCTTTTGGATGAGACAAAAAGGAAGAAGAATTAAAGAAGCTTCCAGAGAAGATCAGTATTACCCAACAAATTCAGCTTCTACTGTACAGCAACAACTGTCTATGTTAACAGTGAGAGAAATAGAATTAAAAACGAATTACACAAAACAAAACAAAATTTGAGTTAGCAAACAAACCAGGAAAATGGCTGGCATACAAATTATGAAAAGAAAAAGAAATGAAAACAGTATTAAAATTACAAGAGGAAAATACTGTAATAACAGATAATGTGAACATGAAAAAAATATGTTATCAATATTACTCTAATTTATATAAAGGACAAGAAATGTCCCTGGAGAAAATGGATGAATATTTAAAGAAACAAAATTTACCAAAGATTGCTACTTGTTCTTTTTTATGCTGTGTTTTTATCTTGAATAGTTCCAGGGCAGCCTCTGGTACAGACACTAACCAGACTCAGGTTTAGTTCTGTGGTTCTCCTTTCAACGTTCTCTGATTGACTGGGAAATTCTGTTTGGATTATCACTGAGATACCAGTGAAGGGTTTCTAACAGAACCCTAGAGCTGGAAGGGGCCCTTCAGCCTCTACCTTTTGCAGGGGGCAGTAAGTTCCCACTCCCTGCCCTTGAAAGCATCCAGGGAAGGGCACCCCCCACCACCACCATGGAAAGGGGCTCCGATTCCACCGTCCAACAGCCAGGTGGAATCCATCTTTCTCTAAATTAAGTAATGAGAGCCTGGCAAATATACATCCCAGGTAAGTGAGCCTTTTCTTGTGTGGCTGGTGCTGGGAAAGAATTCTTTACTGAATTTCTGTGTATTGTGCAAGTGTAAGATACTGTCCGCTGAGCTCTGTTACGGCCACTGTCACAGATGGCAGCAAAGCGTAAGCTAAAAAAGAAGGCCCTTCACCTGGCCAAGGTGAACTACTCCTCCACAGAAAGAAAAAATGACAGCGGTTTTAATGCCTGCCATGGAGGAAAGAAAAGAGGCCTCCAAAACGCAGGAGTCTGCAGGAGGAAAAACGGCCTCCTCCTGGAATCATGGCACAAAATTCAAAATCATTACCGGATTTACAGAATTATGCATTCTTTACTGTCTGGAACTATTTAAGAAGTAGGAGTTGGAGGTATTTCTCTCCATTTTAGCTGACAGTCTGAATCCTGGGCTGGCAATCTGAGGCCCGATTATGCCAGTGTACCCAGAAGGGTCCTGCCCTCTCCATCCCTACAGTGGAGTTGGAGAAAAGTTGGAAGGAGCCGTTGTCTCCCCGCTTCCCCAGGGAATCTGCACCACTGTGGGAGGAGGAGGGGGAGATAGTGGTGGCCTTCTTTCTAAGGTTATGCTCATCGGCTGGCTTGCAAACCTTCACACGGAAGACACGCAGGAGGAG